TTACTGACAGTCTAGTTACTGAAGCTTATTTCACTAACAAGTTTTTTTTATGACCCTAATGATATTGACCAGAATTACTTTTGTCTGTAAAATGAGCATCAATGAAATAAACTATCGGTAAAATAAACTTGTTGGTAATTGTCAGTGAGTTGATCGGATCCCTTTCATATCTAGAGGGGCATGCCCTTTGCAAAGGCATGCCCCAAAAATTTGCCGTAACTCCAACCCTATAAAATACACGCGTAAAGTCTGTGTTGTTGTTACACGAATGTGCAGATATGTACGTTTTTGATATTTACATTATAATGTAGGTCATAGAAGTATGCTGCCTCGTTCCAGACAATTATTTTACTTTTACAAAATCTCAGTGTAAAGATTGCTAAAATGCTTAATATTTCTGATAGAGACGGATTTGATTACTTTACTCAAACTTCGGTGATCCACTAGAATATCATCTTTTCTGGAAAAATACCGTATCAGCCACACCAGTTAAAGCAACGGTAACAAGGGTTTTTAATGAACAAGTCGAATGGTTAATAGTGAACGGGACCAAAAACGAACGAGAGAAGGCAGAATATCTAGAGAGACAGTTCAAAGTAAGAATCATTTACTTTAGGGACTCCGTGGGACTTCGTCTCCTGCACGGTACTCCTGCTACAGATCATTCACGTTTGTTTAGACTGTAGGGACTCCGTGGGACTTCGTCTCCTGCACGGTACTCCTGCTACAGATCATTCTATTTGCTAGACTGTAGGGACACCGTGGGACTTCGTCTCCTGCACGGTACTCCTGCTACAGATCATTCACATTGCTAGACTGTAGGGACCCCATGGGACTTCGTCTCCTGCATGGTACTCCTGCTACAGATAATTCACATTGCTAGACTGTAGGGACTCCGTGGGACTTCGTCTCCTGCACGGTACTCCTGCTACAGACCATCCACATTTGTCTCTTGCACGATACTCCTGTACAATTCTTGCAACATATCGCAACTATGTTAACTTTTTACTACTTTCCTAGATTGATTCGCAGAAAGGTGGTCGAGTATATCTTTTTTGGGAAACAGAAATGCACGCTAAAAAACTTAATAAAATAGAAAAGGATGCCTCTATCAAGATTCGTAACTTTCAAGTAAATATTACACGATGATGTATAACTATTTATTAGTTCCTTAGTTTATTTTTAATGTACTGATATTTTTAATGTACTGTAGGCACAACATCATATTTCTGTTGCAAACCGTATACTTACGGGAAGAAACACCTTAAAATCAAATTTTCTTAATGTAAGTTACAAGCAAGCACTCTTAAGATAAAATTAGTTTAATTTTTATATTGGCTTTCAAACAAAATGACTAGAAAGCAAAATATTAATTAAATGATCTTTTCGCTGTCTTTTAAAATTCAAATAGATAAGAAATGACAATGTCGCTAATCCTTATTCCGAAGGTACTAGTTTGGATAAGGTTAAAAGATCATGAGGGAATGAAAAGTCATCCTGTAACGATACTTTGAAAAGAAAAAGAGAGGATGATTATGAAGGACTGACGTTATTATTTGATGAATCAAATGAAGATGCCCTTGTAGAAAGTATTGACGAAAAAATACTTGAACAAGAAAACATATTACCAGAAGCAAGTGGTGATAACCTCTCAAAGGTAAACCTTAATGTTAGCAGCTAGAATATGTATTCAATAGGCTCATTATATTATTCTCAATAGGATAAACAAAAAAATATGGATCCGCGTATCGTTGAAGGTTTTCATAGATATCAAAAGACAAATCCAAAAACCCGTAGGGTTTTCACGTACGTTGACATTGTTTGTCATTATTTTTTACTAATAGTCCAATTACAGATAGATTCTTATTTTCCATTTCATAAAATAGCCCCGCATACTGGGGAGTTTTAGACCTAACTGGAGAAAGCTTGTTTGATTGCAAACAGTTTACAGAGGAGGACATAATTCAAATATCGCAAGACTTTGCTGATAAAATTTCCTGGAAAACAATGCCACCAGAAAAGAATATACGTGAATATTTCGATAGTAATTGTGAGAAAAAGATAGGCGATAATTATATCAGAAAGCTAGATGTAAACATTCAGTTTATGTATGTATAAATTTTTTTATTTAAAATACATTTATTATCTGGTTATAGCGTTCTGATTCTAATCGTTGTACAGGAAAAGTGATGTACGTAGTTTTCAAGGAATGATGACAGAGGAAGAGCTAAAAATGAGTTCAACTTTCCCATTATTTCGTGGGATATTTACTTCTGATAAGATTAAAAATGCATGGTAGTTCATTATATACATTCGTTTTTGAGTTATAATTCAAATATTCAGGATTAATGATAGCTATTTTGTATACTAGGGGAGAAATTCAAGCTTTGCCCACGAAATATGCACGTAACGAAAAGGAAAATCCGTTTAAAAGAGCACGGGTAGGAAGACGCATAGATATGAAGAGTACTCTCATCAAAACTTCTAATAAATTTGAAGTGATTTATGGAGAAGTAGCAGGAGGATTGGGCCAACTTGGAATACCTACCGCCTGTCGTAAAAAGCGTTATCTTGATAAGGTAAAGCTCATGATCATAATGCGAGACAGCATCAACAGGCTCCTAAAGGAATGTAAATACATATCGTTTGAGAAACGTACGAACTTAATCATATATGGGTGGCTCCAATTTGGTAGGTTTTGCTTACATATTCACGTACAGTACGTTGGGTTTAATTGCTAATAAACTTCATTTTACGTATAGGCCTAGAACTAAATTTCTATGCTATGGACTGGTCAGGAGCCGGTATATACAGATTTGGATTAATTGATCAATGTAGATTACCGTCTGATGGGGATGAATTTGGGATTCTTGAGGACGCGTACTGTATCCTTAAATTGCTTGAAGTAGGTATTAATGCTAATGATATTTCAATAAATAAATATATACTAACTTGTTGATCAAATGTTAGAATAAATCACTTGAAACCGAGAAAGTAGTCAAACAATTATTTTTAGAAAATACGAAGGGTAAACGACGACAAACTGCGTCCGAAACTGAAGCTGAGTTGAATGAAAATCGTTCTCCTGAAAGATACAACTAAATTTAATGAAATGTAACGTGTATGGCTCTTCAAAAATTTTATTAAGTCATATCCACCATACGATTTATACTTTGTCAATAAATTCCGCCTGCGATTCAGATCGTATTTGACATATCAAAATAAAGTTAAATTTACTCTTATTACTGTGGATCGTCCTATAAGAAATGTAGTTTACTTAAATTAAAGCTCAGGATAACGATGGATTTATTTAAATAATAAATTACTATTGTCATGCACTTATAAACGATAATTTGTTATTAAGCACTTAGGGAAGTGTCATTTATCAGCTGATTTTTTGTAAATAGTAAAATTTCCCCCCTCCCTCAAATGATTACGATTATATATAAGCATATATACATATGATCTATTAGCATGATATTTTGGCATCCACTCCCTTGCTAAAAAAAATCAGATGATAAATGACACTTCCTTTGGCAGCAACTAAAATAAAAATATCTTCGACCATTTCTTTAAAGTTTTAATGTTAAAATTGTCTTTATTTCATAATATGCTTCTATAATTTATCTATACATGTGTGTTAGAATTTTTAAAATCAAGGCATTGTGAATTACTTCATCTTTCTAATAATTAAATATTGTCGCGGATTATGGTGAAATCGGATCATCGTGAAATCTAGGGCCTTAATTTAAAAATATAAGTCCTCACA